AATAGCCACCACTGAATGGGTGGACAAGATCTGCTACCTGATTTGAGAGCTACAAGGGAAATTTATTAAACCAGGAGTGCGGGAGGGGGGGGGTGAATCAACACGAGTAGAATAATGAATGAGCTTTAAACGAGTCAACGGAGACCTTGCAGCTGTGCACACACTGCGCTTGGCCACGCAAAAGCTAGCGGAACGGGTTCAATGAAAAAGCAGATTGACGCTCTGGACACCCCTGTACTGAGTTCCCATGACACTTCATAATCACTCATGATGCCGGTTAGTTCTTTCCGAGGGTAGTTAAGTTCAAAAAAGTTCATCTTTCAAAATGTCTAATTTGAACTTCAGCACCCACGTCAGCATTGCCTGTAACACCGCTCGGTTAACACGACGGTCGAACTTATCGGACTTCGCCAGACAATGATTGATCCCAGAAGGCAGGAATTCTTAGCAGGATCCTGCGACTGAGCACGACAGTTATCACTCACTCAGTGGTGAATGAGAGGCACGCTAACTCGGACTCACATTTTACGAGCACAACGAACCCGCCATATAGTAGCATCATATTAACGTGTCGGTTGCTGCCCTATTCCTTACAACAGCAGCTAGATAGTGGAGCCTAATCACGTGTGTTAGAATGCTATAAACACACAAGTGACGGTCATCTGTGCTCAAATGGATTAGGAGAGATAGGCGGTAGTGGTAGACGGTTCTGCCGTCGTCCGAGTCAGTACCACCGCCTAGCCATTGGGGTCTTATGTAGTTCGCCACTCCAAGTTCCAGGGCTAGGTTGCCGGTTACCTCTCATCTCAATATGACTACAACTAAAAAGGAACAATTCTCAATTGCACTCTCACTCGACAATCGCACTCACTAACATTCGCGGCCTGAACCATAATATTGATTCTGTACATTAATTTCTTCAGTCCACTTCCCCTCTTGCTCCATTTTTATCCGAAACACAACTTTCCGCTTCTACAGACAGCCACGCATCTTCAGTTTCCCAATTATTTCCTTCACACTTCGTTCACCTCCGAAGCTGGTGTTTGTGCTTTAATCCATCATTCAATTGTTTCTACTACGTTCTCCCATTTAAATCTCACCAACCACGAGTTTCAGACTCTGTGGCTGAAACTTCGGTTCCCTTCTTTCAATCACTACTTCTGCACTGTGCACCGTTCCCCAAATAGTAATGACCCTCCACCAGTTGATGTTTTATCGGCAAACATACATAGCATTGTTGAAGCAGACCCCAACGCTCAGTTTACAATTTTGGGTGATTTTCATGATCATAAAAGGGATTGGCTGTTACAATATTCAGGGACATCGCCCCTTGGACGTGAAGCAGAATCATTTGTCCTATTGAACAGCCTCCACCAACTGGGTGATTTCCCGACCGTGCTGGCGACCAGGCCCATACCCTCGATCTTGTCTTCACATCCAACCCACAATTATTTTCAAATGTTGCGGCAATTCCTCCCCTAGGCTCATCGGACCATTGTCTTATTTCTCTCTCTACCAAATTATTTGTTCCAATGTTCATACCAATTCTAGACGCATATTTTGGTGATATGGTACCGCTGATTGGTGCAACTTTCTGGCTTCCTATCTCTGGAACGAATGCTGCTTTTCCGCCGATGTCTCCATCTCCGCTTCTAACTTCTCCGAAGTTCTTTTGCAAGACATGCACCTATTTACTTCTCATTTCAATAAACCCGGCAAGCTTCTTTCTCCAGGATGGTTTACCCACGCCTGTTGCCGCGCTGTTCGTAAAAAGAAGTCAGCGTTCGCCGCTGGAGTCGGTCACCTCCCCCCCCCAGCTCCCGCCGATGGTTTTTGTTAGCACGTAGCAAATGTAAAATCATCGTAGAGAAGGCTTAGGAGCACTTTGCTGATTGCAAAGTAGCATAATTGGCGACCGCACCTTCTGGAAGCCGGACGTTCTGATCACTCACTAAGGCAGTCTCTCGTAACTTCTGTTCCACTAACTTCCCACCCATTGTTAAACCATCTGGTGACTTAGTATCCGACCCATTGGAAAAAGCCGAAGTGTTTGCTTTCAATTCTACTCTTCTCGAATCACCCATCCAACCCTCCACACACCCTACGGCAAACCATGTTTTCACACCACTCATTTTCACCAGATCCTCTTGTCGCTGGACCCACATAAACCACCTGGATCCAACGGGATTCCTCCCGTTGTCCTCAAAATGTGCGCCCCAGAACTGGCTCCCCTCTAACGTTTCTTATTCCGTCTACCTCTTAATTCCGAGATATTCCCAATCCCATGGAAAAGATCAGAAATATTTCCAATCCCAAAACGCGACGACTATTCTGACCCGGACAATTACCGTCCCATCTATCTTACATCAGTCATTTCGAAGGTTATGGAATCAGTTATTCCTGATCAACTCCGCCACCACCTGGAGCAAAACAATACGCTTAGCGACCGCCAGTACCGTTTCCGATCCCATCGATCCACCGGTGATCTTCTGGGGCTCATTTCGCATACATGGTCAGCGGCACTCGGCAACCACGGGAAACCCATGCGGTGTCATTGGATACATCGAAAGCTTTCGATCGTGTCTGGCACGCCGGTTTGTTGGCTAAACTACCCAAGTTTGGATTTCCTTCGGAACTTGTCTTGGACAGCAAGCTACCTCAAGGACCGTAGCATCTCCGTCAGAGTAGATCGGATCATGTCTCGTTGCGTGCTTGTGAACGCAAGTATACTACCCACTGGTTATGGTTTCAAATATATATTGATAATACTCACCTATGGCCACAAGTTGGACAACTTTATCATCGTATTATCTGACAGAGGGATAATATGTTCATCTGGAACCCTGAGTAAACGCCATATGCGATTAACTGATGCTCTTGGCTATCTTCCCTCTTTGTATTATGATGGATAGATTTCACTGATAACTTCCCAGTCTGTTAGACAGCAAGCTGTATCGTAGTATCTCACTTCCTGACGAAATGAAATCACACGCTTTCGATGAACCTGTCTCAATCCACTTTTGCTGCTACCCAAGTGGAACATGCACGCGATTCAGTTGGTTCACTGGAGCGTTGTACTACGACCTGGCGTTTTTTTTTTCAAATTATGCTGGCGCACTGGACGACGTGTTCAACTGTCGGCCAGTGGCCACCACACTTGACGCTCTTGCATTCACTCTTCACTCGTAGTGATCCTTTTTGTTGCACTCTATCTGGGTTTTTTTACTCGTTTGATTTTATTCTGTGATAGCACCCAAAGGCATCGCCCCACAGTAGTTTAAATCTGGAATCAGACCTGTGCCCCCTATCGTTGTTCTTCGCTATCGATCTTCCAGTTCACGTGACACAGTCACTTTGATGATGGCACGTTACGCTCACCTGTACCCGGTGATCTGACATATCTATGCTGTACTTGATAAATCCCATTTATGATGGCTCTCCAAAAAATGTAAAATGGGCGGAGATTGTTGTGAATAGCTATTGGAATGCTAGTCTACGCAGATTTGCATGATAGCTGTCGCTTTTCGTAGCTGTTCCTCCCACCCCGTCATACAAGTCTGCAAACTTGGTTTAAATGTTACAGATTTTTGATTCGGATAATTGGTAATTAGGCTCAGGTTTTCGTAACGTCATCGAAACTGTCCATTGCGGAGGGGTGGGGTACATACGCATCGCAGCCTCGTGCATCAGCATGGCGGTTCACTTTCAGCTATTCCCTTATCAGTTCCATGGGAAACATTATCCCTCTGGTCAACGTGTCCGATACCACCACCTATACCGTTCTTACCACACAGTCCTTTCGTTGCGCGCGCGCAGTCTTTCACAACGTGATCACGTGAACGACCAATGTTCTTATTCATCTCAATGAAACCAAATGCGACCTGAGTGAAAATACCAATGTTTTCAGTTCAGCAAACCTGAGAGTTCTGGCCGAATCAGTCGATCGATAGCGCAGGTAGGCGAGCGAACCAATCAGAAACGAGAACGAAGAACGTGAGGTCAAATTGGTACGTTGCTTCGTGTGTGTGTTTAGAAGGTTTCGATGACAGATGAGGTGAATCCTATTCGGACGGCCGATTGATATTACGAGTTAAGTTCACCTCCTGAAACTGAACCCAAATGAGCAAAATATTCATAAAAAGCACATTTAAGATAACCGGACAAAGGACACCTCGATTGTTATTTGAAATTAATAAGGTTGTGCCCTGTGCGCAATTACATGACATTAGACAAACATTCCCCATGGAAGATTTTCGTGAAACCAACGAACCCGCAATATCCAACACCCGAGACCTGCTTCGCCCAGCTTGCGTATGTGGATAACCATCAACTGAATATCATCTGTCATATGCGTTTAATCAGGCTAGGTAAATGAACAACGAAAACGGGGGGAGGGTGGCATGTATGAATTGCGACTCAGCTCGATCACAGAATTACGCGTCGGTTTCCTTGGTTGTCATGTGCTGCCCGGACAACATTATTGACTCTTCAAAGAGCACTATTAAATTCGATGTTTTGTGTGTGTGTTAAAGAATACGATTTTTTGTGTGGTATGTTCCCTACATACCGGATTTCGTTTGGTTCCCAATCCGACATATTTTTCGTTAGAATGACCGACAGAATTTTCATCTGTCCGCTGACTGTAACATGTTGGAATGTCGTAGTAGCACTTTGGGGACAGTAGTCGTTGTTGCGCTGTTTGTGGTACCCTAGATGCTGTTGCTACTATCGTGAACTCGATGCACACATCACCGACACACAAATCCTGCATCAAGGGAATTTGGTAGTCAATCGATCGCGTGGCTATATGATCAGTAAGTGGATCACGAAATCGTTTATCTAGGACCTGCATCATTCCCTGTCGGTATGTATGTATATCATCAAACCATTTTTGAGCGCGTTTGGCAAACCCGATTTTTGCAATCAGTGATGTTGACAACTGGAGCGTTTCTCTTTTTTTCTTTTTCTATAAACGATTTCACTCGATGCCAGGTTGAACCGCAGCGGGAATGGGATTGATCCACAATTGTTTTTTGCCAAGCGGTTAAATGTGGCAATCATGTCAAAATAGTATAATAAATAGCAAGTTTGGGCATTTCGTTCTCCGCCACCTGATCGATTCTCATTCAGTAGCGGGGTTTCATTTTTCACCTCTTTGCTGCTCCTTTGTCTCTCGTATCAATGTCTATTGATTTATGCAATGAAGAACGCACTCTCACATACCATTGGTTTCATCTTTTATCGTGTAAATCTCAATCTTGATCGATCAATAGTGATTGACCGTCAGCTGAATGAATAAATCAATCCGCCTAGATGTGTGGATATTTATCTTCATCAACTACTATGCGTGCACGCACGCACGCTGACTGCGGTTCTCACCAAAGTATGCCTGTTGTTTCGGTCCGGGTTCTTGTGACACTAGTTTTGTTTTTGCTGATCTAAGGATCCAGCCGGCTGTTGGAGTGATCTCACACGTATCCCTCCTACTCCTCCTATCCGTGGACTTCGCTTGATCTGGCCTCGTGCACACAAACCGCTCCTCGTTTATCTCAGTCGTGTACTATTGATTGGTTGTTCGTGTGTGTGTGCGCGTATTATTCGACCTCGCAGCAATTGCACCTCAGCGGACCAAATAGTAAACTCACCGAGTGATTCAACACAGCAGCTTATCGATCTGACCGATCGATCAATACAAGTCGTTCGAAGGAGTGTGTGGCCTGGGGACAAGCTTCTTGAGCAGCTGATCACTGACAGATGAAGACACTCAGTTGATTAATAGTACAGTGGAATCGGACTCGGTGATGGGGATGGATTTACGTGCCCATTTTGGGCAGTCACAAATCTAGCAGTGAGGTGTTAATCCTTTTCAGCTCACTCCTTTGTCCAACCATGTAACGCAGGTCGTGCCACGTTGTGACCAATGTCGTTCGAAAAAGCTTTGCCACGTTGTTCGCTTCACTTCACAGTATTGTGTATATCGTTCGACTGATCAATATTGGAAATGACGAACCAGCTTCGTTCAATTGGTAAAGTGAAAACACTCACTAAACTAAAATCCTGGTTAGTCGAGAGCTCTTGCCCAGGTTGATGCCCATTGTCAATTCAGACTTGTGCATTTTGGGAGCATTTAGTACTACCGACATCTGTGTGCAAACAAAACACACAGCAAAATCAGTCCAGTTCCGTATTATGTATTGTATCGTTATCAGCCACAAATTGCAAATCTACACAATGGCTGAAATACCTGTACAATCGATTAAGCAGACATAGCGTACCAGAGTGAAAGCGAACCCGAATAAACCATAAATCCGCGTGTGTTACGTAGTCTACCCATCACGCTGATGATGATAAATAACTGTGCACTTCTGAATGACAGTCCATTTTCCGTGAAAATTCAGTCAGTCTGACGTGCTGGCAGTCTGAACTTGAATTGGCATATGTCAATCAACTTTGATGCGCCATCTCCTCCGCCAGCTCATTGCTTTTTTGTGTGGCTTTCTCTTCTATTCATTATCTTTTTCTCCGCCATGTATGCCTCGACTGATGCTGTTTTGGCCATCTTTTCATGCAGTTTGCTCAACGTTTTTGTTTGACACTCCTGGTTTGCTGAACGAAGAAAATCCAGAAGTGCGTGTTTTTACGATCGGATCCAGACATTGTCACGATCGAACATGCACGGATTGATCGTAGCACCGAGTGAAAGCTTACCAATCTGTCCTGGTCTCTCTTTTTCTCTCTATTCGAACGGAGTTACGTACGTAGGATCAACTTTGTGTGAGTTCAGTGACCGTTGGCGGCCCATCGTTTGAACCCCTATCGGAGCAGAATTCTGACCGAACAAACGGACTTTGTCGTGCGCCTTTTTTTCGTTTCAATGCGTGTCGCAGTTTTCCTAAAATGCATGTATATATATATATATATATATATATATATATCAATTACAAAGCACTGTTCCATTGTGCCCGTGGTTAATAAGCATTGTCCGATTGTCATTCCCAAACCTGTTTGTTGCACATGCATCCTGAGCCCCATGTGTGTTGCATTGTTTTCCAATGTGTAGGCAGCGAGGGATCAACCCTGGTTCCTTGACAGATTCCACTCTGTTTCATGTGCGTGCAGTTCTAACCAAACACAAGAACGATATACACAACAGATCACCGCATTCAGCACGAATCTCGGAAATCGGGTCTAGTGTTCCGGTTGTGTGCGCGCGCGCGCTCCAGGGTCCATCGCTGATCGTCCCTTTTGGTGTTGAATGTCACTACTTCTCCACCGATTCCCCTTACTTTTTTGTCGGGCTGAGCTCTCAAAGGATGAAAGTGCCTGGTAGTGTGAAGTCCTTTCTTGGTTGTCTGTTTTTATGGTATGTTTGGGGGAGGGGGCTTTTTTCCAACTCGGTCATTCATTACCAGTTTGAGGGATTGATTTAAATCTTCGACAGATCATCTGTCCAACTCCGAACTCATTGGGGTATGACTTCGAGTCCGCATTCCATCGCGGCGCACGGGGGGGGGGGNGACATGCTTCCTCATCGGTCGCATCATTTGCTCTCCAACATCTCCAGCGTACATGACGAACGCTTCCAGTTGAAACGGGGACCGTATACATATATTCGGTTCCCACATCTTATCATGGAATGGTTTCGGATCAGTGTTATCCGAAGAGCTGTTTGTCGATGGTCCGTCCATCCGGTAATGATCCTCTATTTCATTCATTTTACTGTTTTATCACGCGCGATTACGACAGAACAAAGGGTAAAAGCCATGGTAGTCCGGTACTAAGTTTCATCCACACTGTCACTCTTGCTTTGTTCCATCGAACTCATATTTTGTACGGTCAAAAGTGTCTGGATAATTCTCCATTCAGTTTAGTGGCGAGCCTCACATAGGTACACGTCACGTCATTGTCTACACACACACACGTTGGTTCCTTTCCGTTTTGTATTAGAGCCTGCTAACTGGACGAAAAATCCGCTCCGTTCTCAATCCCCATCGCCATTTGTGTTCGGTGCACGGGGTAGTATCCGCCTGTTAACGGAAACTCATCTCAGTGCGCATTATGGAAGTCAAACTTCAACTCTCCAGGGCCTCTGTGGGTTTTACTGGATATTCCATCGCCACCATACACACACACGCTTGGACGATCGAGAAGCAATTTTCCGTGATCACTACTGCATTCCGATGTTTTTTGTTCGATTGTTTTTGTTTCTCATTGGTCCGTATTTCGGCTGGATACAACTGCGCATACATATATATTCCGTTCTAACATAGACACGCACATTGCCTACGTGTGCGACGCAGTTCGCACACCTATCGAGGTCATTTTTACACGCATGCGTACATGCACGGCACAAACATGTCTCGCACGATTTATAATTAACAGCCAGCCGCGAACGTCATAATTCAAACTTCAGTTCCTTTCTCCTGAGATAGAGTCCATTTCACCTAGTCCAGTTTATCTTTGTCTGTGTGAGAGCCTCATCAATTCATACTAGTCACACGACAGCGTTTGTAAGAGCGGACCCAAACCACACTGATGAATGGTTGTTGCATTCGAACCAATGCTGTCGATCTCAAGGCTCTCTCGATGATGCGCGCGCGCTCAGAGTAATTTATCTGACGCTCGGTGTGCCACAGAGGCCCGAAAGTGTTCCTTTTCGTTTCGTGTTTGGATAAGGAACAAACATCAAGAATAATATAGCTTCATTTATGTCAGGAAGTAACCGGAAGTTTTTTTTCAATGTTGAGCTCTACTTCCACACTTCACACTATTCCAGTTGATTGCTAGTGCAGTGAACCAAAGGAAAGCATTTGACCTCGGCGCGTGATGAAGTCGTACCCCACTGCGAAAGCCGTCATATTCAAATCCGGTCGATTGGGCCCTAATCAGTTAATGAATTACGCAATACTGTTTGTTCCTCGTTAAGTTGACTTATTCGGTGTGTCTCCATCAGGCCGATCATCATGCTGAACGTATTGATTCAAACTCGATCTAAGTTGAATACAATGAGGCAATCTGGTTCCGTTACTTATCGAATGTTTGGTGCTAAAATGATGTAACTGTTCTCCACGGCAGTTGACCGAATCCGTTTCGTCTAGTATTGGATGACTGTGAGAACCAAATCTTTGTGTTCATTTGGAATGAGGATATCCCTGGAAATCTCGCATTCGCCATCTCACATAGCTCGTCGTAACAACAACAGCATTGTGATCAGATGTGATTTCTTTTACTCTGGTAATTTGGGTTGTTCCCGGGGCTCATCACGATGAGTGACCGTTAGCAGTTTACTACTTCTGCTATCACCCTATCTATGAGATTAGAGTGAAGAGCTTATTTTATGTATATAATCACGATACAACTCTTTATAAAAAGGGAAAAAGATAGTTTGCATGCGGGCGGAATACCACCAGGTTGCCCAGACCAAGGCCGATGGATTTTCTCGATCAACTCACAACCGGAGCCTTCGGCTAGCCAAAGCCTAACCCGAAATCCATTAGGGTAGGTGTTCAGTTCATCGGATCATACGCTCTTTGGACGAGGTCAAACGTCTAAGATGCCCGATTCAGCCGGTGACTACTGCTACATTCAGGAAGATGTGTGTGGTTAGTACGCCTCTTTTTGGTTAGTTTGGAATCAAGGGTTTTAGCCAACTCCCCTAAGTGAACGGCCAGTGATGCACCAACCCGGATGTTGGCTTTTCGTCTTCTCATTTTGGTGCAACAACAAACTTCACGAGGTGCAAAGGAAGGGTGACTAGTCGCAACCCCAGAAACCCATCCCCAACCATAGTGAGGCTTACTTAAGTTTGCACTTGTTCCAATTACGCATTGAATGTTACACACCCGACCACCACATGTCCACCCGGGTTTTTGTAACACAATATTACTACCTTGAGATATGAGTTAAAAATGTTGGTCATAACGCATTAATCTGGTTCTCTCTAAAACGTATGCTCCCATTTGGTGTTTAAAACCATGCGCGATAGCCAGGGATGTGATCGTGGAACACGCAAGCGGATAACCCGCATCTGCCCCAACCGCTTACAACACCGATACATAAGGATAGATCGATTTTGAATGATTTTAAACGTATTCCCGCTGAATGCATGCTGTCGGCTTCGAAAACGGACATCCAGAGCGCGGATTGTAGAATATAGGATTTCAGAATTGGGGAAAGAGAATTCGGAGACCAGTTTATTTTGGAACATGATTCGTTTGATACCGAATGGACGCTTACAAGAACATGCACATGTTCGCATTACCAATTGTTTACGGCACATATGCACGCATTTTATCAGTTGCTCACAAACTTATAAGTAGGGTGATGAAATTTGTCCTGTCGTTGTATCGATCTGGTGTACCAATTCTGACTTTGAATTAACAAAATTGATGTCCTGGAAAACGTTGCCTGACCGCGCTTTTGACGCACGTTCGAATAGTGATGCTAATAAAAAACGATCAATCAGTAATCACATGCGACTACATTTAATGGTCAGAACTTAAGCGCACGTACCAGCTCGGTTCGTCTCAGTTCGACCTTTCTACTTTGGCGATCTGAAACGTGTTTTCCTCTTTCAAACATCCGCCTCGAGAAAGCCCAAAACAATACGCTAGCCACATGCCCCATTGATCTCCCATCTGTCTCTCTCGTTTGGTCGATACATGCGACAAAAGCAAAATCCCTGTTCCTACCTGTCCATATTTCCCATCGCGGTGTTAATTCAGCCTGTGAGTTCACGAAATTGTGTTGTTGCCTCGCTCGTCGAGATTGCTAACGCTAGGTGCTATTCACAATGCGGCCACATGGAGAACACCGCTCTTTTCTGACGACAAAAGACGCTGGGCGAGGACTCAGCTACTGTTATCAATATTTTTCTATTCAAGGCAGAAAACTACTATGCCGTTAGTTCCATTTCCGTGCTCAGAATTGCACGCAACTAAAATGGACGATGGCTGATTGGTTGCACGTCGTGTTGTTCGTAACGAGAGGGCACAACGGGTCCTGAGTGCGCGACAAGTGGTTGTTAATTAGCACGAGGAAGAGCGTCGTCAGCTACCGCTCTCGAGTAATATCCGCATTGGAATTGCATCCACAGGTTTGACTATGCTGCATAACTGGTAGTACACTTCTTACGACTTCGTTTCCTATTCTCCTTCTCGCAGGCCATCTGGCACCGCAGCGCGCGTTGCTCGAGGTTCACAAAATGCGAACAGTTCAGCCTAAATCAGCTGACGCTTTCATCGAAGAGGCATTCGTTCGCCGGGAATTGGCCGATAATTTCTGCTATTACAATCCGAAGTACGATTCAATCAAAGGTGAGTCTCCGGAGTTCGAACTGCTTCTCAAACGGTCCACCGGGACCGGAACGTGGCTTCGGTTGAAGTATATAGTCATTAAGTTGATATCGCTGGTGCCCTCGAGGCGTAGAAAGGTGAATTCCATAGGCAGCAGTCATTTCATTTTTGTTGGAACACAGGAAAGGTACATTCAAATAATAAAATAGAAGCTATTGTTTAAGGAACACTGGGGTAGTCATCTTGACATCTATGGCTTGCATCAGTAGAGCAGTCCTTCAACACTCATTTCAATATTGTTCGTTCAATGAATCAACCTGTCCGTGGCGTAGCATATGGACAATTTACGAGCACCAGGATACTGCTCCCGGAGTGCGCTCATACCCTCAGTTGAGCAGACAAGGTCGAATAGAGTAAACCATTCGGGCATCGACGGATCTGAAATGTGTTACCTTGAGTAGTCTTAGATAGACTTAGTATCACTTGCCGTGTATTTCGCCATTCGAAATTCCGGCTCATTACTAGAATGATAGCGCTTCTGTACGCGTACCGGGTATGGAAACATTGGCACTGTCTGTGCTTATGAAGTGATATTACCAGTGCTTTTTCAACGAAGACCAGCATCACCCCGAGAACAAATGATACTGATTTCGATCTTTCCAGGTGCTTATCAATGGGCCCAAGAGACACTACGCTTGCATGAACGCGACAGGAGAAGCCCGGCATACGGTGATTCCGATATGGAGGATGCTAACACAAAAGACGATCTGTGGAATGCTACACAACGTCAACTGACGCGAACGGGCAAGATACATGGCTTTCTGCGCATGTACTGGGCCAAGAAAATCCTCGAGTGGCATAAAGATGGCCCGGCAGCTGCACTGAAACTGGCGTTACGTCTGAACGACAAGTACAGCTTAGATGGTACAGATCCGAATGGCTTTGTAGGTGAGTTACGGTCAAATATCAAGTCTTCAGTTCGAGTATGAGAACGCAACTCACGAGGTATTTTTATTTTTCAGGTGTAATGTGGTCCATCTGTGGTGTGCACGATCAAGGATGGGCGGAAAGGCCAGTATTCGGGAAAATCCGGTGTATGACTTACAAAGGATGCGCCGGGAAGTTCTCAATTCCAGAATTCGTGTCACGATATTCAAGCTGATGACATTTATTGACCCTTTGATATTTGTGTACTGAATAAAAACAATTAATCACAATCTATTTTCCTTTTTTATCAGTAAAAGTCCAAAAGTGTAGTTGGTACGCTCGACACGAATCTTGGGTGTGCGCGCACACCCCACAACAGCAGAGAGTGTGTGTGTGTGTGTAGATGAGTGAAAGATAAATGCAGTTTGAAGTTTTGCGGACAACTCTTGCTTTGAAAGCACATGGCAGCCATCCGTGTCCGGTTCATTCGTATGATGCAACAACCGGTATAATTGTGCGGCTGTGATGGTGCAGTCAGTCAGTCAGTGGTGGCGTGTGGACCACAACGAAATCAAGTACAGGTAAGCAAGGTTGTGACAGCGTACAAACCACTGTGAATTTAATTACAAAAACCAAGATGCAAATTGGGAGATGAACAATTGTCAGCTCAGCTCAGCTCGAGAGACGAGTTTGCGCGCAGTTTTTAAGTAAGTAAAGAAAAGAAGAAACCGGAGGACCAACGAGAACAGTTCATTTAGGACGTCCACCAATCAGTAGTAGATCCGGAAGGCACATTTTGAGTGTTGCTACCGTACGGCTGATCGTCGCGCATCATCCCGAAATCGCGCGACATGCCACCGGTTGCACCGAAGCGATTGGAACCGCCACCATAGCCGCTGCTAGTTCCTCCTCGTGGATTAGACTGTTGCCGATAATCTCGAGAGCCAAAACCACCGCCTCCCCTGTAATTAAGAATAAAACAGAGGTGGATTTACGGCTCTTCAACTGGATAGAACGACTGCTGCTGCCAAAAGACAGTAACTAACACTGGCGCGTGAAATGCATCATCAATGTTTATACAAATAAAATAAAATACAACGGCTGGCTTCCAAGTTGGAGCGACTGTGAAATCTAGCGGGTAGTCGTGAAGTATGAGATATTCTATCTCAGCAACGTGAACCCGACAACTATGAGTGATAACGACCAGGAACCGTAGTCTTATTTCGGACTAAGTGGTTCCGTAACTTTACTAAGTGAAGACCCAGGTAAGTTGCGGATAGTTTGAGTGCCAGTGTAGCCATGTTCGGTATGCGTTTTGCACCTTCAAAGTGCAAAATGTTGCTACAAGACTGGGTTAGTCTAGCCCCCAACCTCACCCGGACCGGGAAAGTAGAAAAATTTTCCTATCTGGGCAGCCATACCTCACCTGGCGGACGCACCACAGATGCATTGCCGTCGCGCATACAAAAGGCTCGGTCGGCATTTGTTAACTTGAGACATATGTGGCGCCGTCGCAACGTCCGGCTATCTGCGAAGGGTCGAGTATATGCTGCAGCAGTTCGGCCTGTACTACTCTATGGTGCGAAATTAACCACTACGGGAACAGGATAAAAATAGGTTATCGGTGTTCGAACACCGCTGTCTAAGCAGTATTGCAAGAGTCTGGTTGGGCAACCGGACGACCAATGCTGCGGTTAGCCGCAGAGTTTCGGGTAACCACGGTCGTCCACTGGAGCAAATGGTAGACCTTGGATTACGCTGGTTGGGGCATGTGTTACGCATGGCACTAAGTCAATAGTGACATAGTTAATAGTTGTAAAAACTGAACTGAACTAGTACACGACTATATTCTATCGGAGATTTTGTAGATAATAAAGGCGGCTAAACCAGATTACGTCAATTATCAATGATATCCTGCTTTTGGATATGGCACGCCAGGTGTAGGTGAGAAAATATAAGGCTAGGAAACAAAAAAATCAATCGAATCAGTGGATGTTGTTGCTCACCTTCGATTGTTCTTTGATCGTTGGAAGGCCATCTGGCGACCATCGGCAACCATCGCCCTGAGCCATGACGGGACAGCTTGGTTGACTTCCTCCAACAGCTCTACAAGACCTCGGGCAAGGTTTCTATTCTTGTCATTGAAAAAGGAGGTAGCTATGCCTAAGTTACCGACACGACCGGTACGGCCGATGCGATGCACGTACTCTTCAATGTCCGAAGGAAGATCGTAGTTGATTACGTGCTGCAATGAAATCACAAGATGGTTTTTTCAAAGAAAACAATCACTGAAAAGCTTGTTTATTGTTGGGATCTTTATGTGCATTTGAGTAGAATGTGATAAAAAGTATCCGCATCGATAGTTTGATCCATGTAGGGCACACCACTTGACGAACTGCTTTGACACGGAATGAACCCGTTCACGCCTGTGCTCCTCAACTTTGAATATGTTCCCGTTGAAATCAAGTTGGCGACTAAAAAGATCAGTGGCTGCCTGCTGTAATCAGACACACGATAACTCATACGAAACCTAGCTTATCTATGGTGTCAGTCTCATGAACCCATCAAAAGTCGAGTGCATGCGCTACTGCAGCCGACTTCATTCAACAGTTGCGAAACCGCGGGTGCCTTTACACTGCCTGGTGTGATGGCCGGATCTTGAATGCTTGGTTTGTGTTCAGTCTCCGAATCTGGGCACGGATACTGGAGTGCATAGAGCCACTTGGTTAATGAACACAGAGAATGTTTCGAAGAAAGGGACCACCCGATGCTCGAGCTCATCGCCGAAGTTGGTTATTCCTTGGTGGAACGATGTGAAAAGTATTAGGTATGGACTCTTTAGATGTAAGTTGTCAGAAAGTTTCTAATTTATCTAGAGGCACTGGGTGAAATGTTCGAGCTCCGCAAGTAATTGCTATTGACGTAGACGTGAAGTCGAGGAGTTACGAAAATAGATTTCTGACTAAACGTATCTCGCGATGGAACGTTCATCGAACGCCGCTGTTTACATAGATCATTTGACGACCGGTAAGCGAGCTTTCAAGTCCCTACCTCTGATTAACACTGCACAGGCTATCATTGTGGTTCTACATGTAAAATGAGGAGATTGCGTATCCCATTTGTCGCGGACACTGAAGATCACAGTAAACCGATAATATAAGCGTTTTTAATTGCTTTAGTGGTCACACGAAAACCTGAACGGATTTGAACTTCTCGTGTGCTTTTTGCCAGTCCATTTGCAGCTGTGGTGAATCACACTGGCGGACTGAGATTACACCGTGTGAGCATTGGAATATATAACTGAACAACTTACACGATTTTAGACAACTGTAAGCCCGGCACCATGAACTGCGTAACACATTTTACCAACAGAGCATTCATCAGATTCGACCCCGCTGTGTATATATATATATATATATATATATATATATATATATATATCGTGAACATCACCAATGGAAATCGTCGATCAATTGCATCTTTTGGGATCCGGTATTGACCGCGCGTTACTCACTGATTTATCTAGAGGGTACAGCACTGTATTGGCAGTTATAACCGGGCCAGTAAACGACTAACAGCTCAGTAGGGGAAATTGGTATAAAAAACCTGATTCCAAACTAACCAAGAAGCGAACGAAGCATACCCACATCATGCCGGTCGTAGCGGCGGCCACCGGTTTACTTGGACATTGAAGAGTATATGGTGCCACTTTGTCCAAAACGGGCATGATCTGATGACTGGACAACGATCCCAGTGGCTTTAGACACCATCACCCTTGCGTTGAGAGTCAGGTATTAATTAACCGAAAGCTTTGGTTGTGAATGCCCTCAAGTAAATTCATCATCATCGTACAGCGAAGTACAGAGCAGCGAACTTCACTGATCGCTGCTGAACTCGCAACGCAGGTGCACTGGGGTTGGATGGACGGGTACTGCTAGGGTGTCCAGCCACTAAGCTTTGGTTTGTGCAGTGTATCAATATTTCACACACGAGCAAACCGGACCTTTTTTGTTATAAAGATTGATTTCCAGTATTTTGTTAGGTACATAGTCTGACTTTTGAAAAGTATGAAATATAACAATAATAGCACTTACGCCATTTTCGGTCGTTTAACTACAACGGTTGTCCAGAAAGTTTCATTGGACAACGAATGAGCAGTTTACGTTTCTAACGCATGCCAAAACAGTCGCATTTAACTTCTATCTGTATCATGGTAAACCTCACTGAAGAGAATGCTATAAATACATACAGTACTTCAACGGAATCGCCACAAGTACAGATACTGACCATTCTTGTTTACCGCGCTGCTGCGTGACATGAAAGGATGGTCACTGAGAGAAATTGGGACAATCAACTCACCTTTACGTTGGGAATATCTAAGCCACGAGCGGCAACAGCTGTCGCAACCAAAATGGGTGTCCTCCCGGTGCGGAAACAAGATAGTGCTAGTTCGCGGTCCTCTTGTGTTCGATCGCCATGGATACTGGCAACCATGAACTTCTGAGAGAATAGATAATCTTCTAGGGAGTCGGCACCTCGTTTTGTTTCAACAAACACAAGGGTCAGTATACCAGGATCTAAGAAAGCATTACAACAAAGAATTCCATATACCAGAGTTAGCAAGCAAGTCCACAAGAGCATCTCGTTTAGCGCTCTCTTCCACCCAAAGTATATTTTGACTGATATTTTCGCTAGTGCTACCAACTCGTCCAACAGCCAGGAAGATGTATCGGCTTAAAAAGTCCTTCGCTAATACCTTCGAGGATTATCGAATCACTTAAAATGCTCACTTACCTGTATTTCGTGGGGGAATGTAGCAGAAAACATAAGGGTCTGACGAGTTCCTGATGGTGGAAGATTGTCTTGTTCCACTATTTTGCGAATTTGGGGCTCAAATCCCATATCTAACATTCGATCTGCCTCGTCCAAAACCAAGAAGCTGTTAAATAATAAACAAAAACGAAAAACCACTCACCGGCAGTGATCCAGACCGATTCGACCGCGTTCTATGACGTCTGTTAGTCTTCCCGGTGTAGCAACCAGTAAATTACAGCCTTTTGAAACTTCCATCAGTTGGGAACGCATGTCTGCGCCACCATACAAAACACAAGGACGAACACATGATCTGTACGCGAATTTTCTTGCGTCGTCAAAGATTTGGGATGCTAGCTCACGGGTAGGAGCTAAAATTAGTGCGACTGGGAATTGTTTTCTCCTATTTGTTTCAAACTAGGAACTTCAAGACAAATAAGAGCAAAAACTCACCACAGCGTTCAGTGAATCACCCGGACCTTCTTCTATCATACGATTAAGGATGGGAATGAGGAAGGCTGCCGTTTTTCCTGAGCCCGTTTGTGCGCATGCCATTAGGTCACGATGGGACATAATAATAGGGATTGCATGCTTCTGCACCGGGGTTGGTCGCTCATACTGAGCCAGTTCGACGTTGTTACGAATGATTTTATGTAGGGAGAGTTCTGCGAAGGAGGATATGGTGGACCCTTCATCACTAAAGTCTGGACCAGTAGCGCTAACCGGGATGTTATCATACTGATCGAAATTAATGCCCGTGCTGACTTTCTTGAACAGCTCTTGCTCCAGACGTTCGTTTGGAGGCAACTGTCTGCTCCAATCGTCGGATAAATCACTGTTCCAACTTCGGCCACCGCCTCTAGAACTCATCGGAAAACTGGAGCTACCGCCTCGAGAGTTGAACCTAGGAAGAAGGATTTAGAAAGAACTAGAACTTACTGTCCATTGAAATTGGACCAACGTCCGTCGCTTTGCCCACGGTCAAAATTCGAGCCGCGGTTACCAAAGCCCCCACGACCCGGTCTTCCACGAAATCCATCACCTCCACCACCCCGGGAGTAACGTGGTCCTTGGTTAAAGTCGAAACCAGATCCATTGAATGCACCATTGGCCATGCCACGCGTACGCCGATGGGGTGGTACATAAAGCTCACCCTGACCGCCAGAGTCATTAGAGTGGTTGCCTGAAACACTCAGGGAAGAGAACTAGAAACACAACAGGGGTTTCAAATGTTCTATTGCTGATACGTAGCAATTTATTGCAGTTGTCAAGAAATTTACGAAACAAATGCGAACATCAACACAACAATTTATTCGGAGTAAAATTCGCGTGATCATTAAGTCCTGATTGCTCTCTCACGTGTGCTTACCTTCTACTTCAACAAGACTGCCTCCAGAAAGAAGACAAAGCCCATCACGGGGAGGTTGTGCTTTGACACGGTGCGATCACGAGTGCCTCCATGACTCAGCGAGCTTTACAGGATAGCTTCCCACAGCCGCAGGCCCAATCATACCTGAAAGGTCAACGGGTAGAGGCCAGACGAAGCTCAGTCTCATATGGCCGGGCGATTGGGCACTAGCAGGCTTTTAACTTAACCATTCACCTTCGCCTCTGCAGTGGTCACTTGCGAATGAACATGGGAGGAACAGGGTACCGGGTTGAACACCCGCTAGGTGGACGTAGGAGTGGAGTACCCGGGGAGTTCCTTCCGGTGATAGAAGTCTTCGTACATCGCACTGAGCAGCCCTCAGCTGATAAGACGCCGTCCAGTCTAAGTTTTGTCTGCCATATTAGGTGCATGGGGTATGAGGTCAACAAATAAAGGCGAATCAATAATTACCACACCAACGTTTGTGCAAAAGGTGATTGGAAGTCGCCACAGATGCTCTGATCGTGGCCTCACGTTGAATCTACACCCCACTATCTTGTGTCTCAAACTTTTAAGTGGAAGACTCCGATCAGCGTTCCCAAGAGATAAACTTTCTACCGGTGTGCTACCGCGAAGTATACTGCATCGTAAAACTCCAAGCACCAGTTTAGAAAATGGTTCTCGTCTGTTTAGTTCTTCCTCTTATCCTCATGTCATTCGAGATGTCTACTGTTTCCACCATTCATGTATGACACATACAAGACCTCACTTCATTTTTCATCCAATCTCATCCTCACACTTCACCGTGTCAGGCAAATTGATATCGGCACTGGGAATCAGTAGTGTCCAGGCTGAGTGCTTATTTCTCGATCGGATCTCAACAAGCAACACACTGTACGTTGTACATTTCGATAGCATCAATTTATTCCAAAAGAAAAGATTATCTGACATGGAAACCCTTAATTCTTCTTAGATGTGGATTCAATTCGATTGCACTGTCATCAGCTGCCACTGGTGAAGATCTATTCAAGATTTTCGCTCTAGCTAGTCACTACTCGTAGCATGATTCGTAGATACGAATCATGCTTTAATACGAGCTACATTTTGCCTATGTCTGGTCAACAGCCGCAAGAGAGCTGACGGAAGCGGATGACCACATTAGAATGCAAGAGACATCTGTAAATCGACTTTCGAATCGAGCTTCCATATTGTCTCCCAGTTTGAACACCAGTCGAAAGGCTTAATCGATAATGGAAGCCATCGAACATCGATCGAAACAACTCTGGCACATGAAAGAACCAACGGAAGATTCCCTCGACTTCTTGCTTTGCTGGACGTCCGGTGATTCATTCCTCCGGATGATAACTATGGCACCAGCCCATCAGGAGCCAGATGAATGACCGCGCGAAGTAGTAACAAAATATGCGGCTATTTCTTAATCCCCTTCATTTAGTATGGAATCAGACACATGGAAGTTATGCGGTAATTACGGTGTTCGGTGGCACAAGGATACACATTCAGCAGCGTCGTCTTGAGCGACGGGAAGAAAATGTCAAGGGTACAGTCTAACTGTCCTCATCGACATTTGATTAACCAACTCCTACTTTAGCTGGAAAACTGATGCCAGTTGATAAGAGTCCTTACTCTGAGGTAAGGTGGGAAATGAATTACCGTCAAGCATCGGACCTGGAACGGTCAACCAAATTCGCTTTCAAAGGTAGAGGTTGAGTCTTGGTCTTGGAATTGACTAAACACCTCGTTCGATACAGAACGGTGGACAAATACAGATGAATGGTGTGAATCAGCCACCTCACCGATTTAAAAGAGGATAGTTCGTGTTAAAGCCGTAGAGGAATTAGTTCATGAACACCTCGAAGCATCTCATTGGTGCCGTATACCGCCTCTTGTCTATCGCACATGCACGAGTGGAACCAGTTATGGTTGCGTGTGTATTTCACACACGCCAGGTGTCAAATAAATCATTATACAGTAAAAAAAGATGGAGTGGGACGGAATACTGCCAGGTTGTCCCGGTTAGGGTAGGCGAGTTTTCTTGGGAAATTCATAACCGGAGCCTTCAGTTAACCAAAGCCTGATCCGCACACTCGGCATGCGATGTTCACCGACCCAGATAATATTTGGAAGATGGCCAAGTGTTTCAACTATGATTTAGTATCGGAGTATGAAAACATGTGCACACTGTCATCTTATGGAGAAATGTTTGGTCTATTACGTCCCTGGTTAGAGTGAGGCTAGGTGCTGGACGAACCCAGTCGTTTTTGACACTTTTGAGCGTGATTAACAGCAAACGCGGTAACTCGCATAGTCATGAGGACCTGCTGTTCAGTGATCGAAACCGGTAACCTAGGCCCCGGGACTTGAAATAGCGAACCACCCAGTCTTGTAGCAATATTGTACACTTTGAAGGTGCAAAACACGAGCATGGCTACGCCGGCACTCAAACTATCCAGAAAGCTTGCAAATAACCTGGATCACGTACCATACTATAGACCCGACAGTCTGCCATTTGGGAGCAAATCGATAGCACTGTCTTCGCACAAGGATAGGGCAGTTTCCATAATCAAATTTATAACAACGTTGAACAGAAATGGGGGAAACCCTGATGACCGCTTTCTGTGATGAATTCGGGTGAAAAAGTGCCACAAGCTCAGACTCTATTTCGATCATTGGTATAAAGGCACCGTATCTGTAAAGATTAGTGTAATATATATACGTATAAATATATACATATGTGACGGGACCGTAATATTGAGAAAAACTTCTCGGGCACACTCCTCCGGGAAAGGCAGTGCAAAAGTATATAGCGGTCGACTGTGTCGGAGGCTACTTCCAGATAGGGGATGATAGAAATTGTGGGTCTATGGAATGTCGGTGCTACAGAATTTGAAGAGTGAAGATGTGGTAGATACCATCTCGACTAGGTCTAAAACCAGCTTGATTCTCACGCGACAATCAACGGAGTATGATCCCAGCAATGTTGATTAAACTAATTCCTCTGTGGTTTTCACAAAAGGACCTGTCAAATTTCTTGTAAATTGGTACGGTGACCGACTGACACCACTCACTCGCCTCTCCCATATCGATCCCAGGTGTTTTGTTAACTTGAACACTAACGCTGAACCTTCACTCCCAAAAGCCGGTAAGTAGTTCATCTGAGAAGGAAACCTTATACCTTATGAGATCACTTATCTCCGGGGAAACAACCAACTCAGATGGAGGACTGGTATCAACTGGCAGTAGTTACCAGGCTGATGTGGGAGTTGATAGGCCTAATGTCGTTGGGGCTCAGTGGAACTATGCCTCGAAAGGTTCAACCCCTCGTTCAAGACAGCTCCGCTATGGATCAGTGTGCGGTCAGACTCACACTTATGCTTATTTTTCTTGATCTTGTACTCGTAATTAAACGTGAAAGATTGCGACAATTGCCAACATCCGCACCCTTTTCCACCTCTCGATACTTTTCTGTCCACCACTTCTCACGGTCATTTTTTAGACTCTTGATGAGCTGACGTTTAAGGGATTTGCGCACTGTCATATTATGCATTAGAAGGGATGGTTCTGCGGGCGCCCAGTAGGGCAGCCAGAATCCACCGTACTTTTGACTGAAAGTCGGATAACGTATTTGATTAACGTCCAGTGTTCAGTGAGTCCTGTGGCGCTTGGTTCAACTGACAGACAATCGGAGTTTTCCTACGAAAGCTGATTTGCAACTGGCGCATACATTGAATTGTGGGTATCCGTTGTCGTTGGCTTTGTTGTGGTTGTTTACGAGGTTTAAGCGGAATTGGGCTCGTAACCAAGCAAGGTCCGCATCCTATAAATCTATGAACACATTCTCCACATTTCATTTTGTTCATGTGGCACACCACCCTCCTTCCTCTACTGATCGGGCAAAGGAGCAATCTTATGACAGACTGAATCTAATGGACGAAAGTTACGTTAATCGTTATTTTTAGTTCATATCTAAGTGAGGAGAAACAGAAGGGGTAAACCAGTTACATGGGCCGGTGATCAAGGCTCAAGAACGTTAAGTGGAGAACTACAATGGACGCTAATAGAATAGATGACAATCGAACGACAGTGATGCTGAATACTACTCCTATCAAAAACTGAACTGAACCGAACCAAAGGAGGAGCATTATTCTTACTGCTATCAGCAGGTAAAATAACGCTGAGACGTGTAAGCTATTGGGTGAATATTTCAAGTGGCGATAGTCAAGTGGTTTAAGCCTGGTTTCGATTAGAACTTCGTAAGTGTCTCTCAGCTTTGGTGGTGGATACTTTTTGTAGCGGGTGAATCATGACCCTAGAATCTATACTAATTCACAAAACTAAAAAATATCTTCGTGATTTGGTTATTCTTTGATCACACCATGATGTGAATTCGGTGTCTGAGGGTGAAAGCTGAAGACAACTCCAGCGAGACGTGCCAAGGAAAATGACCTACGACTGAAATAGTCGTTATTAATATGTCCTCCCATTTAAAATTCCGTGGTACGAGTGTTATTAAGTAAGCAAAAATGCTCTACCGAATGAATATCAAGAGTAGTTCAGGTGGCAGTACGGCAATGGACAGTTGCATTCCATCAAAGAAACTAAGGAAAATAGGACGGTTTAAAGTCCAACTATTAGNCATCCTCATCATCGTTCAGCGAAATACAGTGAAGCCAACTGAACTGATTGTTGCCAAGCCCGCAACGCATACAACGCTAATATGTAAAGCGAACAGGGATTGCACCTATTTTCAGGGGAAGAAAGTGAACCTACATGGTCAACACAGAGTACATAATTTAACGGTGCATACATAACTTTCAAAGCACTCTGGCCTGATAAGAAATGACAACAAGCACGTCAGTACGATCTTTATCAGGGAATAGTCGAAGACTGTTCCAAATGATACGCAGCACCGGAGGTCAACACATACTGGTCGGTGAAACCATTTGCGATAAAGGTGATCGGCGTACACAATAAAGAACAGCTTGATATCTGGGCAGTTTTTTAGTGAACAGTTCAAATGACCTAGTGCTAATGCGTCTATTCCAATGATTGTGACGGAAACTCTATGGATGGTGACATGTCTCCGAAAGAATTAGAAGTACAAAGGTGTATTCAATCATTAAAGAAACGGCAGGCAGCGGGACCGGACGGGCTTCTCTCTATTCTTTTCAAGCTGGGTGATGGCTCTCTCTCGTCGACTTGATTACTAGCCAACTTCGAAGGATTTCGTAGGAGCGTATCTATTTATCCTGGGGTGAATCGCTGATCGCTCCGATCTTCAAGAAGGGATAGCTCAACGACTGCGCAAACCACCGTGGGATACGTTTAGCTCTAATCAACACAAAAGTGTTAAATTGTGATATTTCGCCACCTAACACCCTTAAGGGAGATGAATATCCGCGAACAGCAAGCG